GTGGAAGATCTTCTGGTCTGTGGGTTGCAGAGGCTTTGGGAGAAGCATAATATCTGGTCCAATGTACCAGAGGGGGAAATCCCCCGATCTTCCAATCAGATGCACCTCCTGGGTGGAGCAGCACCCTTCCCTGCCTCGGTTTGCTCTCTTTGGGCTATGCCCACTGTCCAACTAGTCCCTTGGAAATGAACTAGGTACCTCATTTGTTTCTATTCAGCCATCTTGGCAGAAATCCCTCTCTTTTTCAGATTTTTTTTTCATGGACTATTTTTTCATTTTTTGGTGTCCTTTTCAATTTCTTTTATCAGTGTTTTGTAGTTTTAATTACAGAGATCCTTCACTTTATTCCTTAATTCCTAGATATTTAATTTTAGTTGTGGCTATAATAAATGGGATTCTTTTTTATTTCTTTTTCAGATTTTTCACTGTTAGCATACAGGAATGCTACCCAATTTTGTATGCTGATTGTGTATCCTGCAACATGACTTTGTTTATTATTTCTGACAGTTTACTTGTGGAGTCTGTATGTTTTTCCAAATATAAGTTTATATCATCTATCTGTAAACAAGGATAATTTAACTTCTTCCTTTCCAATTTGAATGTCCTTTATTTATTTCTCCTATCTGATTGCTCTAGCTAGGACTTCCAATACTATGGTGAATAATAGTGGTGAAAGTGGACATCCTTGTCATATTTCATATCTGAGAGGAAAGGCTTTCAATTTGTCCCCATTCAGTATGATACCAGCTGTAGGTTGTCATATATGGCTTTATTATTCCTTCTATACCCAGTTTTTTGATGGTGCCTATTGTGACTGAATGTTGAATTTTATCAGATGCTTTTCAGCATCAGTTGAAATCCTCATATGATGTTTGTTCTTCATTGTCTTGATATGCTGTATCACACTGATTGATTTGCATACATTGAACTATGCTTACATCCCTGGGATAAACCCCACTTGGTCATATTGAATAATCTTTTTAGTGTGTTGTTGAATTTGGTTTGCTAGTATTTTGTTGAGGGTTTTTGCATTAATACTCATCAAAGATATTGGCCTGTAGTTTCACTTTTTTGGTATGTCTTTTTCTGGTTTTGGCATCACGTTAATACTGTCCTCGTAGAGTAAGTTTGGAAGTGTTTCATCGTTCTCTATTTTTTGAAACAGTTTAGGATTTGTGTTAGTTCTTCTTTAAATATTTGGTAGAATTCAGCAGTGAAGCCATTGAGTTTTCCAGGCTTCTCTTTACTGGGAGACTTTATTAGGGCTTCTATCTCATTACTTGTTATTTTTCTGTTCAGGTTTTGGGTTTCTTCATGGTTCAATCTTAGTAGGTTGTATGTGTCTAGGAATTTGTTCATTTCCTTGAGATTTTCCAACTTATTGGCATATAGTTGCTCCTAGTAGCCACTAGTGATCCTTTGAATTTCTCTGGTATCAGTTGTAATGTCTTCTTTTTCATCTCTGATTTTATTTACTTGGATCTTCTCTTTTTCTTCTAAGTCTAGCTAAAGGTTTGTCAATTTTGTTAAACTTTTCAAAAAACCAATTTTTTTTTTCATTGGTCTTTTGTATTGTTTTCTTCATTTCAATTATATTTCTGCTCTGATTTTTTTTTTTTTTGCTACTAATTTTGTGTTTGCTTAGTGCTTGCTTTTTTAGTTAGGATGCATCATTAGATTTTCTATTTGACATTTTTCTTCTTTTTTGATGTAGGCACTTGTAGCTATAAACTTTTCTCTTCATACTACTTTTATCCTATTAGTTTTGGTATGTTGTATTTCCAATATCATTTGTTTCAAGAAATTTTTCAATTTTCATCTTAATTTCTTCACTGACCCACTTGTTGTTCAGGAGCATGTTGTTTAATTCCCATGTATTTGTATAGTTTCCAAGTTTCCTTTTGCTATTTATTTCTAGTTTCCACTGTGATCAGAGAAGAAGTTTGAAATTATTTCAATTTTTAAAAGTGTTTTAAGACCTGTTTTGTGACCTAACATATGGTCTTTCCTTGAATGATCCATGAGAAAGATGTATATTCTGCAGCTGTTGGATGAAATGTTTTGTAAATATCTATTAGGTCCATTTGGTCTACAGTGCAGATTAAATTCAATGTTTCATTGTTGGTTTTCTGTCTGGATGATCTGTCCAGTGCTGAAAGTGGGGTATTGAAGTCTCCAGCTCATATTGGGGCCTATCTTCCTCTTTAGCTCTAATAATATTTGCTTTATATATCTGGGTGCTCCTCACTATAACCACTTCCCAGGCTCAAGTGACCCTCCTATCTCAGTGCCCACCAAGCAGCTGGGACCACAGGTGTGCGCCACCATTCCTGACTAATTTTTTTGTATTTTTGGTAGAAATGGAGTTTTGCCATGTTGCTCAGGCTTGTCTCAAAATGCTGAGCTCAGGCAGTCCTCCTGCTTTGGCCTTTCAAATTGCTGGTATTATAGGCATGACCCACTGTGCCCAGCCTCACTCTATGTATTTTTATTACAGAGTTTAGTCCGTTTACATTCAGTGTTATTATTGATAAGTAGGAACTTACTCCTGCCATTTTGTTATTTGTTTTCTGGTTGTTTTACATTCTTATCTTCCTTCTTTCTGTCTTTCCTGTCTTCCTTTTAGTGCAGGTGATTTTCTCTGTTGCATGCTTTAATTTCTTGCTTTTTATTTTTAGTGTATCTGTTGTATGTTTTTCAATTTGAGGTTACCATGGGATTTGTAAATACTATCTTATAACCCATTATTTCACACTGATGATAACCTAACACTGATTGCCTAAACAAGCAAACAAAAATGCAAAAAGAAAACTGATAAACACTCTACATTTTAACTTCATCCCCATGCTTTTTACCTTTTTCTTATTTTCCTTTACATCTTATTATTTTATGTCCTGAAAAGCTGTTGTAGCTATTATTTTTGATTGCTTCCTCATTTAGTCTATTTAAGTCAAGAGAAGTTTACATACCACAATTACAGTGTTACAATATTCTGTGCTTTTCTGTGTGCTTACTATATTTGTACCTTCAAATGATTTTCTTCTTGTTTATTAACATCCTTTTCTTTCCGATTGAGGAACTCCCGTTAGCATTTCTTAGAGGACAAGTATGGTGCTGATGAAACCCCATAGCTTTTTTTTAGTCTAGGAATGTCTTTATTTCTCCTTCATCATTAAAGGATATTTTCACCAGACATACTATTCTCGAGTAAAAGGGCTTTTTTCTTCAGCACTTTAAATATTTCATGCCACTCTGTCATGGCCTGTAAGGTTGCACCTGAAAAGTCTGCTGCTAGACACACTGGAGCTCCATCGTATGTTATTTGTTTCTTTTCACTCACTGCTTTTAGGATCCTTTCTTTATCCTTGACCTTTGAGAATTTGATTATTAAATACCACAAGGTATCCTTCTTTTGGTTAAATCTGTTTGGTATTCTATAACCTTCTTTAACTTGAATGTTGATATTCTTTTCTGTGTTTGGGATGTTCTCCGATATTATACCTTTGAATAAACTTTCTATCCCCATCTCTTTCTGTACCTCTTCTTTAAGGCCAATAACTCTTAGATTTGCCCTTTTGAGGCTATTTTCTAGATCTCATAGGTGTGCTTCATTGTTTTTTAAAATGATTTTTTCTTTTGTCTCCTCTGACTGTGTATTTTCAAATAGCCTGTCTTCAAGTTCACTTATTCTTTCTTCTGCTTGATCAGTGCTGCTAAGAGACTCTGATGCATTCTTCAGCATGTCATTGCATTTTTCAACTCTAGAATTTCTGCTTAATTCTTTAATTATTTCAATCTCTTTGTTATTTATCGATAGAATTCTGAATTCCTTTCTGTGTTATCTTGAATTTCTTTGAGTTTCTTCAAAACAGCTATTTTGAATTCTCTGTCTGAAAGGTTATATATCTCTCTTTTTCTAGGATTAGTTCCTAGTGCCTTGTTTAGTTCATTTGGTGAGGTCATGTTTTCCTGGAGGTGTTCTTTGGTGTCTGGGCATTCAGCAGTTAGGTATTTATTATAGTCTTCACAGCCTGGGCTTGTTTTTGCCTGTCCTTTTTGAGAAGGCTTTCCAGGTATTCAAAGGGACTTTGGCCAAAAGCCCAATTATGCTGTGGTTTTTGCAAATTCATAGACATACCACCTTGGTGGTCATGGATAAAATAAAGAAGAATTCTCTGGACTACCAGGCAAAGACTCTTGTTCTTTCCCCTTACTTTTCCCCAAAAATACAGATTCTCTGTCTCTCTGTGCTGAGCCACCTGGAATTGGGGCTGTGCTGATGTAAGCACTCCTGTGGCCACCACCACTGGGATTGTGCTGGGTCAGACCTGAAGCCAGCACAGCACTGGGCCTTGCCCAAGGCCTTTACCTTCAGGATGGTGAGTTCTCCCAGGTCCTGGGTGTGTCCAGAGATGCTGTCTGGGAACCAGGGATTGGAGTCAAAAACCTTAGCAATTTACCTGATATTCTGTTCTACTGTGGCTAAGCTGGCATTCAAACCAAAATACACATTCCTTTACATTCTTTCCTCTCCTTTCTATAGGCAGAAAAGTCTCTGCCTGTGACCACCACCTTCACTTATCCTCGGGGGTTCTGCCAGGTCATCACTGATATTCACTTAAAGCCCAAGGGCTCTCTGTCAGTGTATAGTGAATGCTCCCAGGCCTGGGACTCATCCTTCAGGGCAGTAGGTCTCTGGCCCAGGGCAGGTCCAGAAATGCTGTCTACGAGCCTAGCCCTGGACTTGGAGACCCCAAGAGCCTCCTTGTTTCTCTACCTAGCCATGGCCAAGATGGTACCTGATTTTTGATTCTTGTGACAGTGCTTTTCTGTGTGCAGATTCTTGTTAAAATTTGGTGTTCCTGCAGCAGAGAACAATGATGTAGGCTTTTGTTTCACCATCTTGCTTCTTCTTTCTTCAGGAAATGTTTGTTAAACATAAAAATACAAGTTGTTTCAGTCAGTGAGGGGACTGTTCGTTTTTCCATCTTTTCTTACAGAAGCAGGAAGATTGATGGCTTGGTATTATATTACATTTGAGACGGTGAAGAAATTTTATACAATCAGTGGAAAAGAAACCTTATCAGATCTGGTAAATTAATTTTCACTAGAAAATAAATACATAATCATGTAGTATAAAATAATATTTGAGAAACAACTAATTTGTATATCATCTCATATAATTTAAGAATTAATGAGCAGAAAGGAAAGCATTTCTAAGAATGCATATGTCTCCTCCGGTATACTTCTGATCATGAGATATGGAATAGTCCTTCTTAGAATATATTATATTTTCTGTTTTTACTCTTATCAGAGCTAAGACAATTTACGTACAAAACCAAAGTAGGTATGGCAACTACTTTACAACTTAGGTGATAATGCTAATTACCTTGGTAGTGGCTATAGAATGTAATAACATGTAAGGAAGATTCCAAGATGATGTGGTGTGATATATTAGGAAAGTCTGCCATGAGTGAAGGATAGTGAGTTGCAGCATGTGTGCCATGTACTTGCAACCTCTCCTTAAATCTTTGTGTCAGAATAGTGAGAACTATGGGAATAGAATAGTATTGGTGATGACCCAGATCAAATACTGGTTGTAGAGAAAATGGGAATAATAACAGGTTATGCTAAAATATCAACAGTGGGGCAACTTCGCAGCTGCAGCAGTGAACAGGACCGTAGGCATCTCGTTGGTGCATGGTAACTACATTGGTCCTTTCTTCCTTCACTCAGAACATGAATGTGAAACAATATTTATAAAAGAAAATATTTACTCTCAAATTTAAGCCATTCATTTTTATTTAAAACATTGAATTTGATTACTGTGGTAAGATTATTATAGTAAAAATTGCACAGTAGAATTCCAGTTGTGATTGAGGAGTCACATAAACAACAATTGATGAAAAATAGAAGGTTTGTATTTTTTTTATATGTAAAATTTAAAAAATTTAAATTTATTAGGATTAGTTAACACAATTACACAGAATAAAGTTCAGGATTTCATTAACGATTGTCACCAATATGTGCTTCTTTGTGGCTTTTCAACCCATATTTCTCATGATTCAAATTTATTCATATTATAGTTGAATTTCGTACACAGCTTCACAATGTGGATATTACAGGTCCATCAGTAAAATTAATGAAAACATATCTTTCATGAAAGGCACATAAAGAATCTAAGCTAACACATTTAAGGAACTTTGACAACTTCGAATTTCTTTACATTACAAAGGAGAAAATCCTCAAAATGAAACAGATATGACTATAGTTTATGGTTACATGCATACACACACATACTTTAACAAATATACTTCAACCCAGTGACAAAACATAACTTAGAAACTACGTACTAACAACACGTACTGAAAGACTAACTTTTTCCGAGATAAGTGAAAAAAGGGAGGTTGGGTGGGGAGTGCTGTTCATTTTGCTGAAACAAGGTCACAGAGATGACACATCATGAATAATCAAAAGAAAATTATTCTATTAAAGCTCAATATCTAGCTGATATGTAACACTTATTTGATCATACATATAGTCACTGACTTATTAAATACTGTTACTCATTTTCTAAGTGTAATTGTCTATTTCATTCTCAGAAATGATAGTATAATTGAAAAAGAAATAACCCAAGCAAGTGGAGAAATTTGAAAATCCAAGGGAAAAAAGTAATTTTAACATAATGTGATAATTACATTTGAAACTAGTTATATGTATGAATTTAAATATTGCATTACATTGGCAATAGAGTATTCAAAGACCCTTCTTATTATCTTCTAAACAGGAGCTATTATGTATACTAGGTACAAGAGAATCCTCAAGGGAAATACACAAATGAATGTCTCAAAATTCATTATGCCTACAGGTTTTTTACCCACAAAAATGGAAGGTTTGTATTGTTAGGTAAACATTGTTAAGAAAGGAGAAATCAAGAGTAGAAAACACCCACTATTAACATTAACTCATCTGATCTTGAGTTCAGCAAGTGTATAAGAAAATTAAAACAATTGTTAGTTCCATTTTAGATATGTGGAAAATGAAAGCATAGAGACTCCTTTTTTTGTTACCTGGCAGAAGTAGGCTCTAGAATCCAAATTTCCTAATATCTAAAACATTCTTTCTATGACTAAATTATCCTCAATTGAGATAATGATTTGCAAACTATTAAACAGTAGAATAGTAGTAATAGCAGTAGTAGTAGTAGTAGTAACAAAAGCAATGTTTTTTGAGGACTTATTTATTACTATATGGCAGGCACTGGGCTAGATATTTTAAATTGTATCTTGTTAATCTTTAAAATCTTATTTGTATAGTCCTGGTGTCTAATGTAATGTCTGGTATATAATAGGAGTTTGTAAGCATTTGTTAGTGAATGAATGAATCCTTAAAGAAGCAAAATGTATAAAGCAGGTTTTTAACTCTTGTTATGTTAATTGATAAAACTGTGATGGTTTAAAGCAGTATAAAAAATAAATAAATTTTGAGAAAGAAAATGAGAGGAAAGAAACAAAAAATAGACTTCATTAAATGGACAACTTCTGAAATGTTATAGGTTACAATGATAGCTGGCTGCAAGGAATTTCTAGATATACAGTTAAGAATAAATGAAAAGAAAACACTGAATACTTTGAACAAAGATCCAAATCGGATAACTATCAGGTACAGAAATTACATATGTTTTAAATAATTTTAAGAGGTTTTATTTAATTAAAATAAATAATACATGTCTTGCCATGTGGTTTTATTTATAGATTTCCCATGGAAGGAAGAATTAAAACAAGAGAAATGAAAGTAAATTGGTAAAGATGATTCATACTTATGAATGTTTTATTTTTTTGGTTTTAAAACATTTTACATTTGTTTTTCTTAATACAGAAAAATATACATAAAAAGGAGTCAGAATGTAGATGCGAAATTAATTTCTTAGAACTCTCAGACTTTAAAATTGATGATTTGTGAATACTTTTTCTTAAACATTTGTTCGGAGTAGATTCTGTTGAGGCAAGATAGACGGTTGAAAGAAGGCATGCTTCTTTTGTTTCTCATTGTCAGGAGTTTTCAAGTTAGCTTGAATGAGAACAATATATATAAAAATAATGGACTATATAAAAACCTGTGTAATAAATGTCTATTGAATGGTAGTGGCATTCTGGGAGAGACAGAGTAAAAGCAACATTGTGAATAAAGGAGTGTGTATGTGACAGTGGATGACTATTCTGCCATAAATAGGGAGTTTATATAAAGATTAGTAATTGAAAGAGTAATTAAGGCTACACCATAACTTGTGTCTTTTAGCAGTTTGCAATCACAAATGCAATGATACTGTCTTCTGCCATGCTAACTGCTTGGTTTTCTGAGTATGCAGGTCTTAGTGTTATGTAATTTAAGGTGAAATGGTTTTTTTTAATGTGGCTCAATAAAACAATTAGCCAAAGAATTTCTTTTCATCCATAGCTAGAGGAGCCCATCCTTTCTTTGGGGTTCTTCCTGACATCTCATTAAATTTTATCTTCCAAATACCTTTAAGTCTATAAAGCAACCTTCTCATTGTTTTTTATATCTCATTAGGCAGATTTATAGCTTCTACCACAGAAGTTAATGTTTATTTTCTTAGCTGTATTTCTATATTCAAATACTTATTTCTATAAATTCATATAACCTTAGAGATCATATAGCCCTGTCCTGTCATTTTACAATGACGTAAGTGATCCACAGATAAGTTATGACTTTGCCAAGGTTATGTTGCTATCTAGAACTCTTGATTTTCTCATTTTTCCCCGAGTATACGGTGTTGCATAAATTATTGAGTCAAATTAAATCAAGTATCTTTCCACACTCATTTTCTTGGGAACACTTTATTTGCAATTTCAGTGCTTCCATTAACTTTGCCTTAAATTGGGTAATACATTATGTTGATTGAAGCTGTCAGATTTTAATTATTATAATTGTTTTTATACATATCATAATTTAGATTCCCATTATCATTTCCTGCTTTTGTACATCTTACTTAAGCATAGCCGAGAAAAGAGAGAGTGAGTGTGTATATATGGGATGGAAGGGGCTTAATCAAACATTTATAGTATATTTGTAGGCAGTGGTGACTAATAGTTAATTTTTTCATGGCTTTGTCATATCCCTGTTACTTTGCTGAACTTCACATCTGTTCTTCTCCAAGTAGATGTTAATCCTTAGTTTTAGAATTTTATCCTTCAAGTTTCTGCCCTTTTAATTTTTTTCTTTTTCTTTTTTTTTTTTTGAGACAGTATTACACTGTGGCCCAGGCTCGAGTGCAATGGCATGATCTTGGCTCATTGCAACCTCTGCCTCCCAGGCTTAAGTGATACTCCTGCCTCAGCTTCTGTAGCTGGCATTACAGGCACATGCCATCACACCTGGCTAATTTTTGTAATTTTAGTAGTGACGGGGTTTCACCATGTTGGCCAGGCTAGTCCCAAACTCTTGACCTCAAAAGTGATCCACCTGCCTTGGCCTCCCAAAGTGCTGGAATTACAGGTGTGATGCACCATGCCTGGTTCTGCCCTTTTAATTTAAGGCTATTTTAAAATTCTTCCTAGCTTTAACTCCTAGGTCTTCCCTCTTCAGCACTAGCTCTGTTTTTTTAACTGGTATTTTTCAGTGAACTGACAGGGTATGATATGGAGCCACCATACGAAGCCATGGACTTCCCAACTCTGGCTTTCTTTTACATATGAGAATAAACTGTTTGTGTATATACTGATAAGGTCTGGTCATGGTTTAATCTCATTCTAACTGAATCAATACCTTATCTCATTTAATTCTTATACTAACCCCGGGTTAGTCATAATTACCATGTAACTCTGCCCCTGTTAGTTGAGGTGGTAGAAGTGCCACCTCATCTGAGGCTGTGGAACTTCTGTTTCTACTGAGGACAAGCTCATGGGTAAGATTACAGGACATCACTTCTTGCCTTATCTGGTGCAGAGAAACCAAGAGTCCTGCCATGGTTCTGTACCTACTAGCATAAATCTCTGTCTTTTCTCCTATCCCTGTTTTATTACTGCTTCTTGAAATAAGATTTCTGACGGGGAAGTATGATGTTGAAAAGTCTCTTATTTATTTATTAGAAATAATTGCTTTTTAATATAAATAAATATTTCTTCAAAAGTCTTACTTTTACTCCAGCAATTTTGTACTCCACATTTATGTATCCCTAGGTAGCTTAACAAGTTTTATTTACCCAGCTTTTAAAAGCACCCCATTCACATTTTTCCATCAGTTCCTTCTTTGTTAGTAATTGTGTATCTTTATAACTATTTCTTAATAGATGATATAAAATAATTTTCAGAACCATATACCATAGCCAAAAAAAGTTAATAGTTTAAATTTCAGCTGTATGGATCCATTGCAGGAAGTGAGTTGATTACTTCTTTCAATTTTCACATATCTTCTGCTAATCTAAATCATGAAATATAACTATTCTGTCCTTTTTCTTTGTGTAGCTGACTGTTTTGGTTTTACCAAAAGACCTCCTCCTACTGAGCAGTTTAGGAATAAATTTGTTTTTTAAAAAGAGATTCCCCCAGGAGAGTAGCAATACGTATAATAATTTGAGTTAGAACCACCAGTGATTTGCATATCAATGTCTGATTAGGTAAGTTTATGGGCAAAACAGGTAGCAGAGAACCTGGGATATAGTAGGCACATAGGCACTAGTGTCTTTTCACCCCTCATAACAACTATCACCTCAAATTCAGTAGCCAAGCAGCTGCTGGTTTTGAACAACCAGCTAGTATGCTACTGACCTTCATACACTGAACAGAATTATCAGCACATAATACTATGCCTGGCATTTAATAAGAATTTGTTGATAAAACAAATTGTATTATTTTTCTATAATTCCTTGAAAAGAAATAGTAGAGCTAAAAGACAGAACTGTCTTGGAGGATAATATGAAAACAATTTGAGATGTGTTGAGATTAAAGTAACAGTCTAAGTGAAGGTCTCCTGTAATTTGTCAATCTAGAGATTATAATGAAAGTCTGAGAAGAAATGAGATTTTTGAGACAGAGATTGAATAAAGAAGAGCAATAAATAATAAATAAAGACAACTTTGAGGAGTTGGGAAAACAGGAATGAACTTTTATTGTTGACCTGCAATAATAATTATACAAGATAGAGAATCATGTAGTATTGCAGAAATAAAGGCAGAAAAATGTTTTAAGAAGGAATACTTCAGTGAGTGATATCAAATACTGTGAGATAGATAACCCTTACAAAGGAGTAACAGATTTGTTTTCTTTCTCCAAGTCTTATTCAGGCTCAACTAGGATGTATTCCCATACAAGATTTTGCTTTGACACAAGATACTGCAAAGATTTTCAGACAAGGCTCCCGAATTACAAGATGTATGTTACAGAATTAGTGGATTTTAAATATTTTTTTCCCAATAAACTGGTGTACTCGATTTAATGTTGGAAAATTTTTTTTAGGGTTGTCAGATTTTGTAGCCGCTCAAGAAAAGAAGTTTGCTGTACTATTGAATAGTTTGATTTTAGCTAAATGTTTTAGGTGTAAACTTTGGGAAAACTCTCAGCATGTATCCAAACAACTGGAAAAAATTGGTAAGTGCTGAATACAGGCAGGCAGTTTGGCAATGTTTGCCATTTATTTTGTATTCACCGTTAGTAAAATTATTCTGTGATGATTACAGACCTTTAAAGAAGATATGTATTTGTAGGCTTAAATAAGTGTTGTACTCTACTTTCAGAAATCTGATTTTCATTTGCTCTTCCTTAAAGGATTCCCTTTGAAATCAACTGAATGATACATGAGTACATGAGAAACCTAAAAAAATTAATGCTCTTATCTGAAAATTTTTTCTCATACCATGAGTGAAAATTTGTTTTAGTAATTAGGTAACTATGTGATGCCCTCTCTTCCACTTTTATGACTAATATTTTGTTTTGATCTCAATTGCAAGGTACAGAGTTAGCAATCCCAGCCATTCCTAATTCATTACAGAAAATTATGTCACTTATTTATGTCTTAAATTTTTTTTTTTGGTTTTCAATAACAGTAGAGTATTAATACCGATTTTCATAGAGATTCTGTACACGAAAGATTGTGCCTGATTATTTTGTCTATAGGGACCTTGTGTAGGGTGTGCTCTGAGACTGTAGGGAGTACCATTTACAAAGGATTTTCCTGTTTGATACCTGTGACCTTGTGACCCTATTCCTTCTTAGATAGCTAGAATTCTAAAAAGAGAGTTACTTTCTCATGACTGATAGCCTTGTTAGTTTTGCAATTTTGTCTACATCTTGGGGGTATCAACAAAATAAATAATGGATTTTTAGGAATTGTCTTGTTATTTATTTGAACAAAGATTACCAACTGTTTTATGAAGTCTTACTTTTTTTATCCGTGAAATTTGAAATGAGTGAGGTGACACAGGGCTAACTAGGAAGTCATGGGAGCTGGGGTGAAGGGGGGTTGGCTGGTGAAAGCAAGGGGAGAGATTCCTGATGGAAAGGCTTACCTTCTTACAGAAGTCCTGGCAACCAAATACCACATCCGTCCCATAAAGGCAAAAGTTCTCAATTGGAAAAGTGATTCCTTACAACATTTAGAAAATTTTAAAATTAGGCTAAGTGATTACTAATAAGTTTCATTATACTTGAAAAAGCCAATCTTTCTGGCTTTCTAGAGTATCATCAATATGGGCATTCATTGCATTCTGTCCCTTCCAGATTGTTGAACTAACCTGTTTTCACACAAAGTCATTACAGCTGAAAAGAAAAAAACAAATATTGCCCAGAAAAATGTCATATAATAGAAAAGTGAGAGAATCCAAACAAAAAGTCAAATCCAAGTTGTTACTGAGCATCTTGAAAAAAAAGTAATGCATACAAATTGATGTTAATGGTGGCTATAAACTAAAAAGTTAAAAGACAGACATTTTGATGGGAAATGGAAATTAACATTAGGAATATGAATACTAAAAGCTGTGTCTTAAGAAGAACAAAGAGAAAATCCCAAGAACAAGTAAATATATGAGTAAGGAAATAGTGTCATACCTTCACCAGTAATATATGTAATATATGTGCCTTAGACAATATTTTGGAATTTTATACTGCTCACAGTGTCTTTTATTTGAGGATTGGGATAAATACATTCATAAGCATATAAGAATTTTAAATTCTGCCTTCTGAAAGTATAAGGAAATAGGAAAGGTCCAAAGATGAAAATGAACTTGATATATTTAAGGAACAAAATAAAAGCCAGAGGGGCTGGAAAGTAGTCAGCAACAGGAGAGTGAGAGGAAATTAGATTAGAGAGATAGGCTGTCATATAGGTAAGAAAATTTGGCCCCAGTAAGGAAATTGCCACTTCATTCTAAATGCATTGGGAAAGCATTGGAAGTAGAGTAAAATAGTTTGGTTTAGGTACAGAAGCATAGAACTGTATTTCTAAGACAGAAATGCTCAGAGAGCCATAGCTTCATGAAGCAGTGTTCCCTTGCTTCATTTAAGCGTGAGACTTGAATCATGTTGCCTTTCTTTCAAGCATGAGTATAAAAGTACATATCTCTTGGTGCTTGCCCTATGGATGACATATAGTAAAACTAAAGGGTGAGTCATCATGTGGACCAGAGCTTCACTTTCTTTTATAAAGGAAATGCATATTTTATTTCAGTCTGAATAAGTATCAATAATTGAATAATGTCACAACCCAAATAATCCAATTGAAAACTTTTTATAAAAACTTTAAGTTAGTTATTTGACTGGATCTTAAATTTTTTTAAAAACTAGTTTTTAAATATTTAAATGTATATTTTATTTAAAGTTGATTATTTTTAAGTTGTTGTTTGATTAATTTTCCACAGGTATAACATTGTCAAATGCAATCATAAATGCTGGTTTGACTTCCTTTAAAAAATTAGAAGAAACAGATGCAAGGGAACTTGAATTGGTATTTATATTCACTTATTCCTAATTCCTGAATTCTGTCTAAATTCTGAGGCCTACCTTTATTTCTATTGAAAGTTATTTTCCTTCTCATAATCATAAGTATTTTAACTTACCAAGGTTTTGGGTGATAAGCATTATTAAAGCTATTTATTCTAAAAAATATTTTACTAGCATTTCAAGTGTTGTGGTAAAAATATAACGATGTAAATGTTTTTAGATTTTAAATAGACATCCCCCCTTTGGAACCCAGATAAAAGAAACTGTGATGTATCTACCAAAATATGAACTTAAAGTGGAACAGGTAAATATTTTTTGTTTCTTAGATATTTTATTGTCTTTTCAGGAATAAAGCCACCCATAAATAGGCATCAGCTGAGTATGAGAAGTAAGATTTTTTTAAAACACTTTTTATGCTTGTCCTTTTTTTGAAGATTTCAAGATATAGTGATACCACGGCGGAAATATTAGTGACTGTTATATTAAGAAACTTTGAACACCTACAAATTAAAAGAACAGCATCGGATTCTCACTATGTTACCTTAATCATAGGTGATGCAGATAATCAAGTAGTTTATCTGCACAAGATTGTGTAAGTGTGAAATTTCTGATGATTTTATTTCTAAGCATATATTGTAAAAGAAAAATTCCACTGGAAAAAAAAGTAACAAGATCATTATGGGATCAACTAAATTACTTTTTCCTGACACAATAATGGGATAGTTTCTCTATTTTTCTTTTAAAGAAGATATTAACATTGGGTCTGTTGATTTAAACTGTGACATTTAGTACTCAAATGAACAAAGTATAAAATCTATCACCATGGTCTGAAACAAGTGAGTAGATGACCTCTAGGAGGTCTTTCTTATTTCACTGCTTTTCTCCAGTCATTCCTGGTCCTACTACTGTTTGAATACAGTCTTTCTCCTACTGACCTCGAAATACATCTTCTACTTTCAAATTAAAATCTAACAAATTACTATAGCTCCATTGTAAGATCCGAGCAATCAGAGCAAATGTGTAGAGGAGGTACCCTCCCTTATATCTAGTTCTGTAGCATGCCATTCTATAATTTTTACTTCAGCATTTTTCCAGACACTATTATTTTCTCCCAGAATGTCATAAGCGATCTCTAAGGATATCAGTTATAGCTATAGCTATTTTTTTCAACACTTAGTAGGTTATAGCTATAGCTAATTTTTTTTTTTAGCACTTAGTAGGTTCCAAATATTGAATTATTTAATATCTGTATGAGACAGGTGCTATCCATATTTTGTAGAGGAGGATATTGAGACAAAAAGAGTTTAATGAGTTTGATTTATGATTAATCAAACCTTAATCATGGTCATATAGCTAGTTAATAGCAAAGTCTAGATTTTAACCCAAGCAGTTTGACTCTAGAGCCTAGACTCCGGACCATCTTACTGTACTTGTAAGTTCAGGAATGGCAGTGGTTCTGAAATGAGATTCTCCTAATTGCTGCCAGTAAATACTAGAAGATTCTTTCCCAAAAAGTCACATGCAAGGTTTCTGAAGGGACTGCAGTGACCAGCATAACCCTTTCACTGGTAACTGCTCTCCTGCAGCTAACCATGACACACTTACAGATAATATGCTATTGTACAAATCTTTTTTCTCTGTGACTAATAAATCTGTGACCACATGAGACTAAAATAAGTTCAGTCATAAAATTGGTTGCTGGTTTGTTTATGATGTTATTAGATACAGACTATATTTTATATAAATTTAAAAATACAATTGAAGTTGTTCTCATAATACACATAACTTAATATAGTCAGTTTTAAATGATAGTGATTTAGGGGCAAGATCACGCATTATTAATAGCAAGTATATATTTTTATTGGGACTGAAATGAGAAAATGCAACTTGGAAACAGCTGTAATTAAGAAAATTATAGACTAGATGTGGTAGCTCACACCTGTAATCTCAGCACGTTGAGATGCTGAGGCAGGAAGATCACTTAAAGCCTGGAGTTACAGACCAGCCTGGGCAACAAAGTGAGACCCTATTTCTACAAAAATAAATAAATAAATAATCTGGGCATGGTCCAACGTGCTTGTGGTCCCAGCTACTCAGGAAACTGAGGCAGGAGGACTGCCTGAGCCTAGGAGTTTGAGGCTACAGTGAGCTATGATTGCACCACTGTACCCCAGCTCAGGCAACAGAGTGAGACCCTGTCTCAAAAAAAAGAAAATTAATTAAAAAAAAATCATGGTCAGGAGATTTCCATTGATACTTCATTCTCCCTCATGAAAAGTTGAGGAAAGCAATTTTCAGTAAATTATTTCAGTTTACTACTAGAGAATATTTTTCTTAAGAACAATTAACCCTTGAAGATTTATATATATGTCATTTAGTGTTTGGATTACTAAACTATACTACTTTTCAGGGATTCTATTTTGCTAAAAGCTGGAAATTGGGCTAAGAAGATTGCTGTGAAGAGAGCTCTTAAATCTGAAGATCTTAGCATAAATCTAATAAGTTCTGAATTTGGTAAGTTAATTGAAGTAATGAAGACAGGAATGTAAATAATATAATTGCATTTAAAAATTACATCCTTTATGTTGGTACAGAAAAGCAGTATAAATGGTATTATGCAAAAATAATATATTTAGATAATGTGAATAAATTTTAAAGGAAGTTTCATGTATTTAGATATATAAAAGATAGCATGGACCAGGATGACATTTATAAAAGTTTATCTTTTCATTTATATATATTTTATTTCCCTAGATAGTTAAATTGCAATTATTGTTAGAAGATTGAGTTTTATTTTTGTAACAATAAATATGTAATTTTTTAGTTGTCATATTTTTTAACCCTTCAAAAATATTTTAACTTTCTGGACTTCTTAGCTCTAGAAGCTATAAAAATATAAGAGAGATAAAAAGAAATAAATGTTCTCCTGTGGATTTATATGACTTAAATAAGCATTTGTATACTTTTTTTCATTTTCCAGTTGGGCTTGATATTCAGCAGAAATTTACAGTCTTTTACTTAGAACCCAAGAGGTTTGGAAATCAAATGACTATGAGAAGAAAATCTGAAACACAGATTTCCCATTCTAAGCATTCAGATGGATCTACCATAGCAGGGCCTAATAAAGGTAAAGAGCTCTATTAATCCCGATTTTATATTAAAGCAAAGGTATGGCTAGGGAGGAGTATTCAGTGTGATAGTACTGCAAGAGTCAGATTGAGAACACTCTGGAATAAGATCTTTAAGCTTCATAGTAATTGCATTGATAGGATATAGTAGAAATTCTGTCTTATAATTTTTGTCAAATTAGGGTTATGTTTGGGGGACAAATTTTTTGATTCATCTTTTGGTATATGTATAAGTCCATTTTCACACTGCTGATAAAAACATACCTGAGACTGGGAAGAAAAAGAGGTTTAATTGGACTTATGGTTCCACATGGCTGGGGAGGCCTCAGAATCATGGTGGGAGGTGAAAGGCACTTCTTACATGATGATGGCAAGAGAAAAATGAGGAAGAAGCAAAAGCAGAAAATCCTGATAAACCCATCAGATCTCATGAGACTTATTCACCATCACAAGAATAGCACAGGAAAGTTTGGCCTCCATGATTAAATTACCTTCCCTGGCTCCCTCCCACAACACGTATGAATTCTGGGAGATACAACTCAAGTTGAGATTTTGGTGGGGACACAGCCAAACCATATCATTCCATCCATGGCCCCTCCCAATCTCATGTCCTGAATTTCAAAATGAATGACGTCTTCCCGACAGTCCCCCAAAGTCTTAACTCATTTCAGCATTAACCCAAAAGTCCACAGTTCAAAGTCTCATCTGAGACAAGGCAAGTCTCTTTTGCTTATGATCCTGTAAAATCAAAAACGAGCTAGTTACTTCTTTGATATAATGGGGATACAGGTGTTGAGTAAATACAGTCATTCCAAATGGGAGAAATTAGCCAAAACAAAGGGGCTACAGGCTCCATGCATGTCACAAATCCAGTGGGGCAGTCAAATTTTAAAGCTCCAAAATGATCTCCTTTGACTCCAGGTCTCACATTCAGGTCATGCTGATGCAAAAGGTGGGTTTCCATGGTCTTGGGCAGATCCAGCCCTGTGGCTTTGCAGGGTACAGCCTCCCTACTGTCTGCTTTCACAGGTTGGTGTTGAGCATCTGCAGCTTTTCCAGATACACAGTTCAAGCTGTCAGTGAATCTACCTTTCTGGGGTCTGGAGGATGGTGGTCCTCTTCTCACAGCTCCACTAGGCAGCACCCCATTAAGGACTCTGTGTGGGGGATCCAACCCCACATTTCCCTTCTGCACTGCCTTATCAGAAGCTCTCCATGAGGGCCCCACTCCTGTAGCAAACTTTTGCCTGGGCATCTAGGCATTTCCATACATCTTCTGAAATCCAGGCAGAGGTTCCCAAATCTCAATTCTTGACTCTGTGCACCTGTAGGCTCAATACCATGTGGAAGCTGCCAAGGCTTGGGGCCTCCAACCTTTGAAGCTGCAGCCGGAGCTGCACATTGAACTGCTTTCAGCCACAGCTGGAGCAGCTGGGACACAGGACACCAAATCCCTAGGCTGCACACAGCATGGGAACCCTTGGCCCAGCCCATGAAACCACTTTTTCCTTCTGGGGCTCCAGGCCTGTGATGAAAGGGGCTGCTGTGAAGATCTCTGAAATGGCCTGGAAACATTTTCCCTATGGTCTTCAGGATTAACATTAGGTTCCTTGCTACTTATGCAAATTTCTGCAGCCAGCTTGAATTTCTCCCTAGAAAATGGGTTTTTCTTTTCTATCACATATGCTGCAAATTGTCTGCAAATTTTTTTTTTTTTTTTAAACAGAGTCTCACTTTGTCACCCAGGCTGGAGTACAGTAGCACGATCTTGGCTCACTGCAACCCCTGCCTCACTGGTTCAAGCAGCTCTCCTGCCTCAGCCTCCTGAGTAACAGGGATTACAGGAGCCTGCCACCATGCTTGGCTAATTTTTGTATTTTTAGTAGAGATGGAGTTTCACCATATTGGTCAGGCTGGTCTCGAACTCCTGACCTCAGGTGATCCACCTGTCTCAACCTCCCAAAATGCTGGGATAAATTTTCTGAACTTTTATGCCCTCTTCCCCTTTTAAAACAAAATGGCTTTAACAGTACCCAAGTCACATCTTGGATGCTTTGCTGCTTAGAAATTTTTCCACCAGATACCCAAAATCATCAAGTTCAAAGTTCCACAAATCTCTTGGGCAGGGGCAAAATGCCACCAATCTCTTTGCTAAAACATAACAAAATTCACCTTTGCTTCAGTTCCCAAAAAGTTTCTAATCTTCATCTGTGACCACCTCAACCTGGACATATTATCCATATCACTATCAGCATTTTGGGCAAAGCCATTCAGCAAGTCTCTAGGACGTTATAAACTTTCCTACATTTTCCTGTCTTCTTCTGAGCTCTGCAAACTGTTCCAACCTCTGCCTGTTACCCAGTTTCAAAGCCGCTTCCACATTTTTGGGTATCTTTTCAGCAACATTCCACTCTACTGGTACCAGTTTACTGTATTAATCTATTTTCACATTGCTGATAAAGACATACCCAAGACTGGGAAGAAAAAGAAGTTTAATTGGACGTAGAGTTCCACATGGCTGGGGAGGCCTCAGAATCATGGTGGGAATTGAAGGGCACTTCTTATATAGTGGTGGCAAGAAAAAAATGAGGAAGAAGCAAAAGCAGAAACCCCTGATGAACCCATTAGATCTCATGAGACATATTCACTATCATGAGAATAGCATGGGAAAGACTGACCTCCATGATTCAGTTACCTCCCCCTGGGTCCCTCCCACAACACGTGGGAATTCTGGGAGATATAACTCAAGTTGAGTTTTTGTTGGGGACACAGGTAAATCATGTCACTATATGTTTTTCCTTTTCCATACTTACGCCATTCTTACAGCCATTGTCGGGGAGAGCAAGTGATGTACAAGAATCGACAGATTTGTTAAGGCAAATCAGAGTGAAAATGAATTACTATTTTTTATTATGGGAATTTTTCAAATATATACAAAAGTAGAAGCATATGATGAACTTTCATTTATTCATTATCCACTTTAAACAGTGATCAACTCATGGCTACTACTGTTTCATCTATACCTCTCTTTAGTTTTTTTCCATCCGTATTTCGAAGCAAATTTTAGATATCATAGTATTTCCTCTGTAAATGTTTCATTATATATCTATCTAAATGGTAAAGATTTTTTGAACTACATTACTTTTATAGATAAAATCTATTTAATATCATCCAATATTAAGTCAGTGTTCAAACTGTCTCATAAATATTGTAGATAAATTATCATCTTGATGCCATCTAGATATATCAGATTAACTCCTGAGTCCTTTTGGCTGTTTCTAGTAGTTTTGAAAGCTTCTTTGCTATGCAGAGTAATATGCTGTTCTAGGCTCATCTCATATATGTGTAACCTCAGACTCATACATAAATAAACCCTTTGTCCAAGAAGCCTTTTTTTTTTTAATGATAGTGGTTTCTAGAGATCACAATCTGTGTCCTAGAGGAGCTCATTGCCATTGAGTGATCATGATCTCTTAGATTTTTTTCATGCATAGAGTTAAGTATTATGGGACTATTTTTTGTTTTAAAAGATATAATACATCATGAATTCATACTTATATGTACAAATCAAATTCAGAGATACAGAATTTATCCTTAAACTCAATTATCTATATAGGCCTCCTATCATGCTGAGAAACTTGGTTCTCGATGGCTCCAAAAGTGATAGAATATCACTAATTTTCTATCCTTTATATACATTACACACAACAAACAGTCTAACAACACCAGATTACCACTCTTAATATGATCATTAACATTTCAGAATTATTTTGCATGTATTTTTGTTCTTAGACTGTATCTTACTACCTGAGATTATATCTCAGTAGTCAAATTAATGTGTTTAAAAATCACTTGGAATAGATTCTCGGTTTGTGGCCATGCCACTCTGAATATATATATACTTTCATTTGTTTTATTTTATTTTATATTTTTAGGAATAGCTTTCAAAAATTAATTTTGTTTTATAATAATGTAAAATGTTTACATAGCTCTGTAATTAAATCTACAAAACAAACACTAAATATGTAAACACTTGCAGCATAGGCAGTCTACCTTGCAGCTCTTATTCAGTTAGTCCTATTTTCACTCTTTTGACCCATAAGGGGAGCAGTTAACAGATACTGGGGAATGTGAGAGCAGCAGCTTGATTAGTCATGCTCTCTGAAGAGTGCTGGCAATTATGATAAATAGTAACTGCAGTGAGTAGTGGCAGGAAGAGCACATTTAGAACTGTTCTGTGAGTGCATGAGCATTTATCTTCTTCCTTTTTGAAGAACACAGAAGAGCTTCCATTTCTGTGTAGGATATAGTTTTGTGGTAGGCCAGTACTTCCACAGCTACAACTATGAAAACCTTCATACCTTATAAAAATTACAATTTTTAGGGCATCGGAGATTTGTGGAAGCAATGAGGACTAAAGAAACTAAAATTCAGCCGGGCGCGGTGGCTCAAGCCTGTAATCCCAGCACTTTGGGAGGCCGAGGCGGGTGGATCACGAGGTCAAGAGATCGAGACCAT